TGCAATTAAAAAAAATCTATTCAAATGTTATACACACACTTCCACTTACAACAATCAAAGTAAACAACTAAAAGTGTAAATGAGATTCTAATACAGTATATACTGGTACTTGCACAGAACCAAAACTATTTTATTTTAAAATAAGAGGTTTCTTTTGTATTAATCAATCTTTGAAAGCTCAGTAAAAACAGCCAACAACTATTTATGCAAATGTAAGAAAAATCTTACAAGTAATATTTGCATAGCACTGTACATCCATGTACTAGTTCGGGACACAGTTTTTAAGAAACGATGGTAAGTGAGATTATTTTACCTCTTACTTTTAACAGATTTCAATGCATCTTTTCTGAACTGCATACAATTTTGTACAAGAAATAACTGTAAAAATGTACAAAAATATATATACACATGCACAGTAAATTTGTACCCTGTATTCAGTTTTATTTGGTTGATTTGGCTAATAATATCTGGTAGTTAACAAAACACAACAATCACAAGTTTGTAACAATCGTTTAGGTTAATGATGTTTAGTTTTCTCAAAGAGAAAATCATTCATTAAAGCTACAGGACTTGCTGGTGATCTTTATGGTTCAGGAACATGCCAGTTTATGGTACCTTTCTGGCTTTCAGGCAAGTAGCATTTGATTGTCACAACTCACAGTTTTGAGACAGCAGAAGCAATGAATATATTGGGTACATTTTGCATGTGTAACAAATTATAGCTCTGAAACACAACCTAGTGGTTTTAAAACATTTCATTCACAATATTAGACACCCAAATTAACCATTAGTTAAAAAAGAGAATTGAAAATTAAAAATATCCTTCCTTAACATAAGTATTGTATCTTGACAAAAAAAACAAAACAAAAAAACAAAAACAAAAAAAACAGATGAAATAAGAGTTTTATAAAAGAATCAAAAGACGTAGAGAACTCCTCCTAATGGGACACTACTATCTGGATTTTCTTACTTTTTTAAAATTCCTATTTCTGACTGAGCCCTCTTTAAACGGTATGCCCTGATTTTTGAAAATATTTCCCTTTAAAATGTTAAAAGGCTTTTCCACTACCTTGCTGATGTTTATCAAGATTTCGTCAAGCCAGGGGGAACTGACTACATACAGTTCAACTACACTAATTTTTTTTAACTATCTTTGATGAGATTATTCATTGAACTGAAGTATTCCTTGTAACTAGTATAGATAGAAAATGTTCAAATGTGTGTAATTTTCAAGTTGTGTTCTTTAAATTTTAAAGCACAGAGGTTAATGACAAGAGAATTGTGAAATGTTTAGTTTATAGATGCTAATCCAGTATCCTGCCAAAGTCCCTTAAAATACAGAATATTTTCATTACATTTTTCACCAGCTGGCAAAAATGGCATGTGATCTGTCACATTCAGACATTGCGAAAAATTTCCCAAAATATGGTAGCAATTCTGTGAAGATTCTGGCGCAAAAGATTGAGGGGCTCAGGTGGATATTTTCCTGCCACTTCTTTCCTCTATATCTGGGTAAAACATAGTCTTACAAGAAAGCTCCTTTCTACACTAGGAGGGTAGATTTGTTGGGATAAGTTCCAGTCCAAGACTTAAGGTATATCTAGACTGCATGGCTATTTCGGGATACCAGAGGTATCCAAAAATAGCTACCCTGCATCTACACAAGCTGCTCGGTATTTCAAAATATTTTTCAAAATAACGGGCACGTTATTTCACCATCCTGGTAAACCTCATTGCACGAGGGATAAGGGATTTGTTGAAATAGCGAGTTATTTTGAAATAAGATATGCAATTTGCGCTACATAAATTGCATATCTTACTTTGAGTTTAGGGTGCTGTGTAGACGCACCCTTAATGTATCCAGAGCAGGGCTGGGCAAATACCGTCCCGCAGGCTGGATACCATCCACAAGGGCTAGCTCCTGGTGAGTTGCCACCACTATATTTACCCATGCCTCTGCAGGTATGGAGGACTGAAGCTCCTGTTGACCACAGATCACTGTTCTCAGCCAATGGAAGCTGTGGGAAACAGTGTCCCAGTCTGCACTGCTTCCTGCAGCTCCCATTGACCAGGAATTGTGATCCACGGCCCATGGGAGCTGCAATTGCCAGCACCCGTGAAGGCATAGGTAAAGATAACAGCTAACCCTGGTGAACCACTGCCATTTTATTGCCCACCCAATCCAGAATAATTCCATTGATTGCAATTGAATTATTGTACTTTTGTATTGGCATAATAGTGATCAGAATCTTGCTTTGTGTTCAGGCTTAACTGTGTGGTTTCCAAGCTTTCTGGCAATTATTTAGTTTCCCAGATCAAGAAGTCAGTTGTATAAGCCAGTGCCCTTCATTCGTTCAAGTAGGTTTACTCTAACCTGCAGTGTGGCCTTTATTAGCTTCAGAACCTAGCTTTACACAATACTTGAGTTTGGAGCAGCTCAGCCCCATCAAGAGATGAATGGGACGTGAGCAGCTGTGACACAATGTACTTAAACACAGTTTTATCAATACAGATCAAGAGGGAGTGCCTATTTTAACCATCACAAATCAGAACTGGTAAACACAACAGCTGTTTTGGGACCAGTAGCTTTAACCCTTAGCAGCGTTAATGTGTGCACATCCCAGGCAGTTTATAGATCCCCAAACGATATGCACTGTTTCCAAGGGAAATCCATGAACTTCTACACTCAAGTTGGACTGCTATACATGAATACTACTTAACTGGACTTACCTGTTTATTTTGGCCATGGATATATTTGATGGCTGCCTTTGGCTAAGTGACACCAAAGTAGGTGGATATTCTATTATGCCTCTTGCAACACTGAAACACTCAGGTTGGTATGAAAATCCACATTCCCTTAATCAAAGGTGCATACACGCAGGACAAACATAATTTTTTAGTATTCCCAAGCAGAAAGTGCATCTCCATCAACTAAAAACAATCACATTAACTACCTCTTGGTTAACTATGCATGCCCAGTGTTAATGACCTCTTTGTGCTAAACACCCTCTTGTTAATCTGATCCATTTCAGAGGGCTCAGGTACCAGATAATGATGCACTTACGCGACCAGTCTTCTACCATAAGAGACATGATTTCTGTAGAAAGTCTTTACTCTCTACTGGTGAAGGTATGTTGTCAACAGACTTAGACTTGATAATATGCCAGTTCATATTATTGGACATGCCAAAACAATACTGACTGACAGGAAGACAAAATCCATGGACACTTGTAGTACTTAGAAGATATGCTGTACTGCAAAAGTTTTGGAAAGCCCCTGAGCTCCACCAGCGGCGTCAGACACTACATTGCAAGTGGATGGTGGTAGAAGACAGAGGTGAATACAACCAAGCTCCAGGGAAAAGGTGTGCGCTTTTTCCATGAATACTAGGCAACTAGGAAAAGGGCATAATCCTCATTATTGGTCAGCAATTAAACAGAAAGAGCCCTTCGAAGTGGTGCCAGGTAGAACAAAGGACACTGCCTATGTTCTTTGTGCCCAAGAGAAACACTTCGCTCAGGGGGACAAAAAGTCAATAGCAAGAGCACATTCTGACAGCAAGAGACCTCTCTGAGCCAAAGCCTGTAAATGCCAATGAGCGTACCAAAGAAAGTCCTCTTTCAGCAACAAATTTTCATGCTTTAATGACTGATGGGATGCACAGGGCCAGCAACTGGCAAAAGCTCTCTCATCATATTCTTCGCAAGGCTGCTGAATTGGGTTGCGTGATGCTATTACGGTATTGCACATGAGAATTCAAGGGGGGATGACTTCTTCCTCCTTGCCGGTGCTAATGTGCTGCTCTGGCCCAGAATCTAAAATTGGTGCATGTTCACTCTAGGAAGCCATTTGTCTTCTGAGTCAGGGTTAAGCTCCCCAGCCATTGGCCTGTGAAAACGACACTGAGACTGCATTTCCACAACTGGAGAACCTAAATTTGAATTCTAAAGATCAAACACTTGAAGCCCTGAAAGATGAGTGATGTAAAAGTAGAAATGCTTCCAGACTCTTAAGACTTATTAAAAGATTGGAGATCATGGGTGAAAATCAAAGACAAAAAAAAATTGATATATTTTTGTTTATTATTGCTCTCAGAGGGCTTGGTAGTCAATTATACAAGCTATTTTCTATTAAACCAGAAGAAAATAGTGTAAAATATAAAATCTATGCTCTCAGTCCAAGCCACTTGCTCATCTTCATTAGAGACATTTACTGTAGCTATTTCCAATCGTGTTAATTTATACATACTCTGTATATATATATATTTATATATATAATTATATATTAAAAAACTATCTGAAGAGACAAAAGTTCAAAATGAAAATATTTTGCACTATTTGTGCAGTGTACTGTGCACTGTTGTACAATTCAGTTTTCCAAATTGTTACCAATATGTTTGCTTAGAATAGTAAAAATTAAGCAAATGATAATATATTTACTACACTTTCAAAAAACAAAGCACGACCAATATGTTATGATAAGAAAATAAAATACATTAAACATGTGCTTATTCTCCCCTTGATGTACATGCACTAATCCCATTAACCCTAATTAGGAGTTGCATGCACTAAGAGGAGACAAGACCTCTTTAAAAAGAAAGGATTTTTAATCTTTTCCCGTGCCTAGTGCCCAACCCCTCCCCCCACTAAGAAAGGGGACATATTTGTTAAATTCTGGTAGTGTCTACCAGTACCAAGGCCCCTGCTCGCAGGTAACTGCAAAGTACAACCAGTGGTCTTCCTGCTTTGCTCTCGTTACCAAAGCAAGTGCAATTTAAGTATGTTGAACATCATCTTCAGAAAGCAAGTATACAGCATCTGTTAAGTCTTCCTAACAAGCAAGCATTGCAGCAATTACTCCTTCGCCTCCCCTCTCCCCAAAAGCAAACCCACCTGTTTTGGTCCTCTGGTTAGAAAACATCAAAGAAAACCAGGGACTTTGCTTTAGCAGCATTCAGTTAGAAAACATCAAAGAAAACCAGGGACTTTGCTTTAGCAACATTCAGAATTTTAACTATTTAAAAAAAAAAAAAAAAAAAAGCACAAAAATGCCTGGTAAGAAAACACATAATCATGGCTATATTCTGCCACTCAGAAGCCAGTGTTCAGCTTTCACCGAAGTTAAGAAAAGTTGTGCACCCTTTTTTCTCTCTGAGGAAGAATGGCAATACTAACACAGGAGCTGAGAGTGCAATGCTTAACTGGGGATGGCTCTAACAAAAGACATAGATGCCATAAGACAATCTGAAAATTCTCGTATTAAAAATCATCCGAAGTGAACAGCCAGGTACATGAGAAAGTATTGATAAACAATCCCAAATGCAGCATTTCAGTAAGCTAGGAAATTACTCTGAAGTTTGAAGTAAAAAGAAAATCCTTATGGTCAAATGACTGTGGGGGAATAGGTTAGAGTGAGAATGAAAAGGTGAAATTACACGTTTACCTTTTGCTACCACATCAAAGAAAAATCATGTTTTAATGAGAACTGACTTTCACAAAATTGAAATAAAAATTCAAAAAGTTTGGGTTAAGACAGGAAGATGAAAGTTAACACAACATCATTTGAAACTTAAGATCAAATTCAGCCCTCATTTATACTTACTCTACTTCCTCCTCTGGAGTATAACTGAGTGCAGAATTTGGCCTTTAAATGTCAAGATAAGTGATTTCCACATATTTATGAATACCAACCTCAACACACATTCTACAGCCCTCTGCACAACCTTACAGTATACATCTGGAAAGAAAAGGGTGTAGCCAAGGTTCTGATCTCCAGTGTTCAACAATAAGCCCAAAAGCCAAGTTATCAAAATTGTAGATATTAAACCCCCCGGAAGAAACCTCAACACCCATCTAATGTTTACACCTCGAACAACATGGCTCATCTAGTGATAAATCTCACATGAGTGTCCTACAATAGCCAGCTAAGAAAAGCAGCACAGACTATAGTCAGAATGTAGGGGATGGGATCCTGGCCCTTATGAAGTCAATGGCAAAACTCCTACTGGCTTCAGTGGGACCAGGATTTTGACCCCTAAACACTACCGCAGTGATACTCAGACTGAGCGCAAGCCACAAGTGGCTCTTACTGTGTCTTCTGCAGTGTGATTTAATCATTAACCAATCAGGATATTTTTACTATGTTATTAATCAATAGTGGTTGGCAAAAATACTTGATCAATCATTTTGCTGTGAAAATAATGCATACACACAATATTTCCCATCATACTATTTAAATATGAATGTGCAGTATTATAGTGAATGAAACAATGAATTCACACTACTGTGGCACTTCTTGGGTAAGGTAAGCTAATTTGATTCCTGAATCACTGAAATCTGAGTATCACTGCATGAAAGACACTAATAGTAACTTTTCTTTCGTACATTGCTGCAGACAAAAAAGAATGATCCTTTCCCAGGACTTCGGTGCTGGTTTATGCTGATTTTCACAGTAGACTGCTGTTGGGGACAACCAGTGGGACTTTGGTAATGACAAACATGAACAGAAGGAAGAAACTTCAGTACAATTGAGTAAATAGCCTTCTTTACACTGGACCAAATCTCAGGGCTTACCATTCACTTAAAAAAGCAAAGCAAACCAAAACAGATCCAAAACATGTTAAGTATGAAGCAAGGCCCATATTGCTCAAACCACCGAAGTGGTGTATAGAAGCTTTAACTGAGCCTTGACCAACAGATGGGGGAGGAGGGAGAAGTCCTTTAAACTGTATTAATACTAGTGAATCTGATGTACAGTATGTGCTTATCAATACGGTATCACTTCCTTCAAAATTCCATTATCCATTTTCTTGTGGTACAGAAAAGATATGATGTTGCCTGAAAATAAAAAATGTATACAAATATGATATTGTCTGTAGTCATGATAAAATGGCCTTTCCAAATGGCTTTCACCCAAGAAACTGCTGTCAGTGAATTTAAGATGGACTGTGTTTCCTGGAGCATACTCAGCACTGATGCTGGGAAAACAACATATATTAAATTGGCTTTAGCAAGAGGAAACATTCAATGGCTCATACTGCAAAGTGAGTGTCAGATTCTTGAAAGAGAAACCAGCGTGACTGGTTGCCTTGAAGAAGTAGGTAGCTGTGTCCAATATTTCTCGGCCCCACTGCAAAGCAAAAAGTTACCATTTTTTAGCCCCCGAATTTTACCCCAAGTTTGAATACAGTGGTCCTTAAACAGACAAAAAGCTGATGTTTTCTCTTCTCTTGATTCTTCCAATGTCTTCACTCTTGGCTCAAGTATTATTCATTAATATTAGTCATCAGTTAATAAGAAAAAGATAGTTTCTAAGTGGTTCTTTTAATGAAGTTAATTTGATACCATAGTCTGGTTATATGTGCTGTGCTGCAACTGTGAGTTATTCCTTCTTCTTGAATTCTTGGTTGCCATAGCTGGAGCCTTTTTCTATTTCAGTTACTCCTATCAGTCTACGAACTCCAAAGGAAGCTTTAAAATATAATACAGACATTGAAGGTGTATTACAATTGATTTAATGATAAATCTCACACACACATGCACACTCACACACAGATGATACTAGATGGGCCACGGGGATTGGATACAGAAGTCACAGTCTGAGCAATCAGTAGCGACTCTGGGCCATACACTGTCTCCAATCTGTGTATGCAGCTTCCACTGACCGAAGCTTTGGATTAAGTACAAGTGCCAAGTCATTAGACCATAGGGCAGTCCAGATTTAAAGAATCAATACAAGTGTAATGAGTGCACATTTGTTAAAAGAAGCTCTACTGATGGCTCTGGAAGCTGACATCTTCAGTTAACCATAAAGCATACTCAATCAGTATGGGCAACATCAGTGAAAATGTCTTCACATTGCCCAGCAAATGTGTTTTGCAACTCATGAATGGGCTGTGTGAATATTAATTAGCATATTATATCTTACTTAAGAAATAAGAGACAAACCTGTCTGAAATTAAGGCTTTTGCAATAATTGTTTTTCTACACAAAAATGGAAATCTACGTATCTTCTCCCAAATTTTCATCCAAAATACCAGCTTTCTCCAAGTATCGGTAATAGCAACCGTGGGCTACGTCTGAACTACACCCCTCTGTTGGCAGAGGGATGTAAATTAGATGTATCGAAAGTGCAAATGAAGCCGGGATTTAAATATCCCGTGCTTCATTTGCATAATGGCGGCCGCCTCATTTTTTGAGGAGTACAGGATCTTTCAAAATGGGGCATTTCTGTCGAAAATGCCTCGTCTAAACTGCTGGGTTTTTTTCGAAAAGCCCCGTTTCGAAAAAAAAGCGGCGGCCGCCATTATGCAAATGAAGCACGGGATATTTAAATCCCGGCTTCATTTGCACTTTTGATACATCTAATTTACATCCCTCTGCTGACAAAGGGGTGTAGTTTAGACATAGCCATATATACAGCCCTGCAAATCTGTGGATATCCACTTTATATCTGTAGGTGCCCATGGCTCATTTTTGCAGATGTGGTTGTGGATATACATTTTTTTATCTAGAACCTTGAACATTTGTGGATATCTGCTTCCCATCTGCAGATGTGAACATTGATATCCATGGTTCTTTTATGCAGACGTGGATATAAATTTTGTATCGAGAACCCTGCAAATCTGCAGATATCCGATTTATATCCATGAGTATCTGCATCCACAAATGTGGATATCGGCAGCTCACTTTTGCGGATACATATGCAGATGCGAATACAAATATTGTACCACAGGGCTCTAACTGTATACAACATTTATCAAAGTTAATGACCACTATTGCATCATACTGTGCTTTGGCAGCATCTCCCTCTTCTCTATAACTTTCATTACCTGCTCCAACAAATCCCAGAAATGCGAGAATAAGAAGGGGTGAGCCACTTGAAAAAATTCCAAAACCAAATGTGAAGAGAGGAGAGAGCAGAACAGTAGCCCAGAATAGAAAGTTTAGTAGAGTCCATGGTCTTCTAGGAGGTTTAAACTGACGGCCGGGAAATATGCCTTCCTGATTATACATCTCTTGTAAAGCATCCTGTGGGAGAGACAAAGAGAAGGAGAAAGGAGGGAAAGAAAGTTCATAACTCAGGAATGTTAGGTTTTGCATGTATACTTCCCAGACTGTATAATTCCATGATGCCATAAAGGCCCACATCTGTGGCGAACATTATTAGAATCTATGAGAGGAATTTTTATTTTCTGTGGCCTGTTTGGCATTCCCTTATGCTGCAATTACCATCAGTTAATACTATAAACAAACATTTTGAACACTATTTAAAAATAAACAGAGACTAACAAAAACCAAATGTTGTCACTTTCCATCCACCACCTTACTCACCAGCCCTAGCTGTGAATATGTTCAGACTTCTGAGACGATTTAGCCCCAGAGAACGACTCAGAGACTTTCCAGTCCTGTGCAAGTTATTTCTCTATTGCTTCTCTTTTCTATTTTTACTAGAGCCAGGAATCATCTATAGGAGGAACAGCAGCAAAATGCTCCACGTAGAGTCAACAGAGTGAGGCAATGCACAAGCTGACTGGGAGGGACAGCACTTCCTTGCAACATGAAGATACTAGGACTTGAGTCTTCATAGGAAGGCTCAATCCTGTAGCTATAACTGTAGAACTTTAATATGCCGTGAACTAAGTCTGCCTGCGAGTCTATTTGTTCAGAAACTCCAACTAAACGGTAAGAGTGAGGGCCACCACATTTGCTATGCAGCTTCCTCTCCTTCTAACATAAAGCAAGGCCAGGGTTTGCTCGTGCCTGGAGAATCAGAAGCTCTGGGGGGAAAAGGACAGTTTTTCATAACATGCAAAAGGAGAGGCTGCTGTTTGGAGGGACGCAATATGAGAGCATCCACTGGAGCCAGCTGTACCACCAAGGGAGTGGTCAGCAGGGCTGGGGATCCTCCATCCCCAGCACAACAGGTAAGAAGTCCCCCCTCTCCTGGCCGTTGGCTGCAGCCCTCAGCCCCGTCCTGACAGGCTGCAGCCCATGGGGAGTGCTGCTGCAGGCCGTGGGCAGGCCCCAGAACCTGCTCCTTCCCCCACATCCATGCAGAGAACCTAAGCTTGGAACTTAGTGCCCCCTGACCCTGCCCTGCCAACAGCATGCAGGCCGCGGGGAGGTCCTGGAGGCTTGGATTGGTCTCTGAAGCCTGCAGGTCATTGGAGGCTGCGGCTGGGGCTGAGAGAGCGAGAGAGAGGTGCGTTTAGGTGTAATCCCACAGTGTTTCCCTTCAAACCACAGCCACCATCCTGTGGCCAAGGAGTAATGGATGGGGCTCCTTTCAGAGCCTGCCAATACAGCTCCTTAAATCAATCTAAGGAATAGCTGCCAAGTTACACACAAGGCTACCATTTCCTCTGTCCCTCCAGGGGAGCAGTGTGCATTGCTTAGTTCTAGACATGCTGCTCTTTAGACTGTTACTTTATGACAGATCTGAAAGAAAAAAAAAGTCATTTACCTTTTCCTGGTACAGTTTATGAAGCCAGTTTGCAGCTTCCTTTTCATCTACAGGGATATCTTCAAGAGGAAATCTCCTGGTTTATTAAAGAGATTTAAAAAAAAAAAGTCATAAAAGAAAATCCAAATAATTTATTTTATTTAAGGCCTTGTCTAATGAAGAACTCTGCAATTCAATATACAGCAAATATTGTCAAAAGATTTGGAACTACCAAACTCATACAATGCAAATAAGAGTCAAAGCAGCTTTAACAGAAACCATGCCTCCAAGTCCCCCTTGGAAATATGCATCCATGAAACAGCAGAATATACAACTACTTCCTACCAGTTTCAGTGTCCCTCAGAAATACATTGTATTTTCTATTCAAGTGTTACTGCACCTGCAATGTAGTTATTAATGGCTGAATTCAAGCAAGCTCTTGTTTATATTTTGATGACTAGAACCAGTGAACAAACAGGAAAATTATTCACAAAAATTTTTCATAGTGAAAAAATTATTTTTTGGGCTTGAAAAATAAAAAATTTGGAAAATTGCAACCAGCTCTACGGATATGGTTTTCTCTTCATATCTCCCTCTCTAGTGCCAAACTACTCATTTCCCTCCCATTTCCCTCTCAATCACCAGCTTGTAAATTACTTCCCACTGTAGAGGGAGTTGCAGGCTTTGCAATATATAGAGACTCTCTGCAAGATTCAATTCACAAAAGTCAAAACCTGCAAGGATCACTCAACCCGAATTACATAGCATCTTTAGGAGGGACAATAATAATCTGATTCTGTGATTGTCTGGGCAAACAGAAAAAAGACATTGGTGGGGGAAGAAATATCAGTGAGATAATCATTGACCAGGTCAGCAGTTCATACACATAGCACAACAATCTGGTAAAACACAAATGGCCCCCCAAAAATGTTTCCCAGTGCTGTGAAAGACAGACAATGCATTCCAGATTCCAGGGCAATGTCTGAGGGGGCACCCAGGGGGGGGGGGGGGAAGAGGGCCCCAGCCAGTAGGGCCAGTTTCTCTGGGTGTCCAGATGAGAATAGTGGTAGGGCCTGAAGCCTACAGGAGAGGTCAATCCCCCTGCATGCACCAGCAGTGGCAGAGGAAGTGGAACGTGGCCTCAGCTCACTCTGCTCCCCTGACGTGTTGCTTAGAGGGGCGGACTGCCCCAGCACTCACCAGTGGGAAGTGGAGCGATGTGGCCACGGGAGGAGAGCGAGCTAGAGCCATGTTGCTCCACTCCCCCTGCTGCTGCTGGTGAGTTTGGGAGGGTGTGGACCCCTGCTGCCAGCACTGGCTCCACTGGTCCTGTGGGGAGGAGTTTGGGGGAAGAGGTGGAGTGGAACAAGGACAGAACAGGTTACCCTTACCCTTCCCCAGGCTTGGGAGGGGGAGCAGGAGAGGGGGAATGCAGTCACTTGGCTGTCACCAGTCAACCTGGAGTGGGACACATGGCCCTATGCTTAATTTTATGTGGCCTGTGGCAAGTCTCAGTGGTCACCCTGAGGGGATGGAGTTGCAAGCACTGGCTCACCTTGCCATGGGTGGGAAGCCCTGAGCCTTGGCACTTCCCAAGCAGGTGAGTTGAATATTTTATATTTCTCTTTAAATAAAAACGGCTAAACTTAATTGCTTTTTACTTGTGTGTAGCCTGGGATTAATTTTTTCCTGTGGCTGATAGAAAAAAAGGTCCTCCGCCCCAGTTCTAAATGCTTAAATTAGTAACCACACTTTTTGAGAATAGCTTTACAAAGAAGAATTGGCAGCATTAATAAAAAGCCTCATTTGCTGAAAGTTCTCTTTCAAAGTTATCACTGCACTGAAATTGCCACTAGAGGGTACTTGTAGCAAGGCCATTGTGATGATTTAGGAGGATTATTTTAATTCACTATTGTTCATTATGAATGAAGATCTGCAGTGTGTGCAAATAAGCTTGGCCACTCATCTCAATGCAGAACACAGCATCCCCTTATGCTCAAATCCTGAGCTCACAGGGCTTTCTTTCTTTGATCTAAGTCGAGCCTGCAGGCTCATCAATGATATTATATGTTTCAGTTTGTAGTTGGGAGTACAGAAACATACAGCTGTAATAGGGAAATATATACTGCCTACACCCTACCAGTGAGAGATCACCATATTATACTTGTGTTTAAGGTCTGGGAAAATTATAATCAGTTTTGTATGTCCCTATTGCAATATTATAGGAAGATCCCATCACCAGAAAAGTTGTTTCTCCAATTGGGATTAACCTCCTATTCCCGCAGGCAAGCTTAAAAACGGCAGGTTCAAACACAGTCAAGTGTCTTGAGAAGGCACTTTCAACCCTACAAATATATATTTATGTTTTAAATCAGAGCAAATAGTTTAATAACTGGGCACAATTTGTCAGGTAAACTCACCTACCACTAATACTCCAGACTCTTCTGAAAGCCATTGGTTTTTATCTTTCCTTTTGCACCATCAAACCACACTACCTGACGTCTCATTTAGCAAAGCAAAACGTATTTGGTGGATGAAACTGTTGTTTCAGTGCACAAATATCCAACTATTTGGTTGTGCAAGTTTACGCACGTCTACTTTGACATGTTGTGAGCACTTACAATTTTCTAGTGAAATTATGCTCTTCACATGTGCAATACATAATTATTTCTAGTTTGTAATTGTTTCTCTACTTCGCAAATCACACAATCCTCATTGGGAATATGGACATGGCAAGTGGAAGAGTTCAAATAAAAGCAGTTTGAGTTATCCAACTGAAAAAACAAAACAAAACAAAACAAAAAAAAACCCAACAACTTGGAAAATGTCCTGAAGGCATTTCTCAATGTATGCCTTTCCCTTCTCCATCCCTGGATAATTCCCCAAATCAGCAAATGGAATGTACCAGGAGAGAGAATCTTGGGGAATATTACATAAGCACCTGAGAACAGGACTGGAACAGAAGTTCCTCCACAACAACAGCTAATGTTTCACCTGCTTCTAGGCTAGCAGCTCTTGCTCTACATTTTACAAAATTGCTGCTGCTATCTCGCAATGTTGAGGATCTATGTGAGGTGCCCAAGAAGTTCTCCTCAATAGGATTCAATACAATATACAACCACTCGTGTAAAAAATAACAAACTGGGCCAATAGTGCAGTGGTAGCAATTGCAATGCCCAGAGGAGAAAAAAAAAAAAAGAGAATGTCCTCTGGTTGTTCAACAGTAAACTATCATAGTTGGGCAGTATTTCATAAAGTGTAGGGCATGCTCCCAGGGAGGGGGCACAAAGGACAAGAGGTGGGGAAGGTCTGGACTAGATGACCTCTAGAGGTCCCTTCCAGACCTATGATTCTTTGAAAGGAGGGGATGGAGCTCTCAGTTTAAAGTTTTTTTGTAAAAAAAGGAAGTCTTTTATTCTTTCAAACTGGGAAGAAAACCTTCAAAGCTGAAGGTAACAGACACAGGCAAACCTGTCAAGCTAATAGAAGGCCTGAAACAATAGCTGTGAAGACAGACTGCTGATTTATTTCTACGGGTAATAACTCAAGATACTAATGATGGTAACGAACAAAGTATCTGCAGTGTTGTTGTAGCCATTGGTCCCAGGATATGAGACAAAGTGGATGAGATAATATATTTTATGGGACCAATTTCTGTTCTTGGCAGTGACAAGATTTTGAGCATCAGAGAACTCTTCTTCTGGCCCAGGAGAAGGAAACTGGAGTGCCCAAACTTAATATGAGAAAGAACAGATTGTTAAGCATAAGGGATTTACAAGCCTTGTAGGACAGTTGTTCCCAACCGTCAGTCCGCAGACCGGTGCCGGTCTGTGAACCACTGGCTGCTGGGCCACAGTAAGCTACAGCATGGGGGGTGTCATGCTAGGACCCACCGGCAGTGGGAAAGGGTTCTGGGGGCCAGGGCCGGGCAGGGGCTTTAGCGCAGCGAGTGTTGCACTAGGACCCAGCAGTAGGAGCTGGGGAAAGTGATCGATGTCTCAGGCCCGGCAGCAGGAAGCGGACTGCAGCCACTGCTTGTGGAGACTCTGGGCCCAGGCTCCAGGCTGGATCCCGGAGCCCCAGCGGGGGCTGCTGTGGGGCCCCTGGAGCCTGGGCTGCAACTGGGAGGGAGAAGCTATAGCAGGGCCAGTCCCACTGCTCCCCAGGAGCATCTCCCCAGGGAACCTCCTGGCCAGTCCCAGCTCCTGAGTGGGTAGCACTTGGGGGGCAGGTAAGAGATACTTCCCTCCCCTCCCTGGTGCCCCAGGGCTGCAGGGGGAAGGTTTGACCCTGGGCTTCTCCCAGCAAAGCTGGCTGCAATCCCTGCCTGGGGCCCAGGGAAGCTGCCACCAGCTCCCAGCATGTGCAGGGTGGGGGGAGCCAGCCCTGGTGGGGTCAGGATGCTGAAGAGGGGCAGGTGCAGATCAAGGGGAATAGGGATGTGTGAGGTGGGGGCAGGGGTGGGATGCAGGAGGCACTGAAGGGAGGTTGGGGGGGATTCAGGAGAGACTTATGGGGCAGATGGGAGGGGAAACTCTGAGGGAAGGGTCACAAGGAGGGAAAGCGGGGAGAAGAGGCTGGGGGGAGACTGTGGGAGCAAGAGCAGCCTGGCCGGGGAAGGGAGAGACACAGAGCAGGGGTTGTACCGAAGGAGACAGGGGAGATACAATGGCAGCTCCCCTACCCCATGGGACAGGAGGTGGGGGAGGGCAGAGGTGACTGGTGGCAGCACTTGAGGGCACCAGCTTCTATGCCCCTGACAAAATTTCAGTTGCTAAATAGGGTGCCTCTGTGGATGCTCCTCCTTGCGCCCCTCTCTCTGCAGGCACCAGTTGCCTCTGGGAGGGGCTGCGCCACCCAACAGCCAGAGGGGAATTCTTTCTGTGAAGTGTTTTTTAGTGTTGTAGATAGCTGCAAAGTCTCATCGTTATGACATGTATAGTGTGCATACAGATTCAATGTAAAATAACATGTGACCTCTTAACGTTAATTACCATAATGAATATGCAAATAAAATGTTACCAGTCGGCCAAAAGTTTGTGAATGGGTTTGCTGATCCACTGTATAAAAACGGTTGGGAACTACCCTTGTAGGAGACAACTTAAAAAGAAGCGAGCAATCAACATCTCTGCAGTCATAGAACAATGGAGGATTAGTAGGCAGCAGGATATGTTACACATTGTAATGGGCCATAGAACAACCAGCATGTCTGTTACATCCATGTTTTTAGTGCCTAGCAGATGTCCCAGGCTCACCCTTTGAAGCCGATGTGCAGGTTTCCTTTGAGGAAAAGGACCGAGAGATCAGATATGGAGTGAAAAGTGTTCACCTGTGGGTAACGGGGGATTGCCGTCCTTCCATGTTTTGGTGTGAATTCATTCAAGATTAACATTGTGAATCAGTACTAATCAAAATCATGTAAGAAAAAAGAGGAGTGATCATACTATGCAGATCTACACAATCCATTAGGAGAGGCTGATCATTTTTGGTGACCAGTTAACCCCACATGGCAGAGACAGCATGATTAGTAACATTTTCCTGATTCTGGATTCTCGCAGTGGTCATGCCCACTCTTTAAAGTTCTACCTAGTTTTTTTTCTGTCTTGCTATGTGATGGCTGGTGACATGGGCTCTTGAAAATTGGACTATCCTCAGGGCATGCAAAGGAACCTCCTCAAGGGATTCGGTGATGAATGACATTTTCCTACCAGTTTAGTTCAAACTCAAATCTTGTGCATCTCACTTCCATCATTATATGCTCACCTTACACACATATCTGCTTCATATTTCTTTCCGTAAAGGATTCCTAATAATGATGGGTTTTTGTTTCCTCTGAAGTTTAGTGTTACATCGTACACTGCTGAAACTGTTGAAAGAAAACATAACCGTTAACCTCGGTATCCATAGCATCGAATTTGTCATAGTTCAAGCTCTAACAGAAACAAACCCCGATGCAAACACTGTTTTACTAATACCACTTGGCAAAACATTTCAAAACCCACAGGTTTTATTTACCCAGATGTCCTCCTTAACAATCTAAACTATGGCAGAGAACATGCATACATCCCACAGGAATGGAGTGAGAGCTGATTAATTATGCAATGTTTGCATATTGCCACTTTAAAGATGGAAAGTATTAATTCTTGCAAATTAAAACTAGAACAAATTAATACATTTTTAGGAAATGAAGTCTAGTGCTTCTACTTAATCTTGATATCATCTAAGGGCCATAATGAATCTGAATTATCACTCACAGAACGCAATGAATATACTGAACTATGGCACATAACACACATTACAAGTAAGGTTTAGAACAAAATGGATCGCCCATACCTGTTCCCCTGAGACACTGGACAGCAGTGGTGAAACCTTTGGTTCTGGGCAACAGATGATATTTCAATTTAGGCAACCCTTTGGATTCAGCCACTTCCATGCTAATACGATGCTTGGTTTCTGTAAAACGAGTTCCTTCACAATATAGGAGAAACTAGCATGCAAACGAGAAAAAAAACAAGGGTATTTGTTAAGAAGAAATTACTGTGTAGCACAGATCTAGAGCACTTATAATATAGATGGATGGACTGTCACACACAATTTCCTCCTTTGTTCTTTTAGATATGCTCCAGAGCCATCCTGCAACTCTTCAGTGGCATAAGTGAATAGAATAGATAATATTATTTGAGAATTACAACAAGCAGTTTGATGAATAATATCTGTTTCCAGAACATACCGGAACACATATGCAAATATTCAGAGACGCAACTGAATTTAAAATGTCTTTTTGAATATTCGTTTATTTATTTTCTAGTAAAGCAAATCAATTACACATATACACATATGTACACATGCCCCCCTTAATTCCACGTGAAACATTTCTTTCTTTAAAAATCACAGGAATACTCAAATATATATGAACATGACTTCAGCTTCAAGTTCCAGGCTCAGCTACAGTAAACAGTATTTCCAGTACTAAATAAAAGAAATTATCTTCTCTGCTATAAAAAAGTAGATCATAGATTGGTAGGACTGGAAGGGACCTTAGGAAATCATCTATTCCAGTCCCAGGCACTCATGGCAGGACTAAATATTATGCAGACCATCCTTGACAGGTGTTTGTCTAATCTGCTTTTACAAATCCCTAATAATGGAGATTCCACAACCTCTCTAGAAAGTTAACCTGACAGGAAGTTTTTACTAATGTCCAACCTAAACCTCCCATGCTGCAATTTAAGCCTATCGCTTCTTGTTCTATCCTCAGAGTTAACAACGACTATTTTTCTCCTTCCTCCTTATAACAACCTTTCACACGCTTGAAAACTTATGTCTTCTCCCAGTCTTCTCCAGACTAAACAAACCCAATTTTTTTAGGTCATGTTTTCTAGATTTTAAATAATTTTTGTTGATCTTCTCTGAACTTTCTCCAATTTGTCCATATCTTTCCTGAATTGTGGTATTCAGAACAGGATACAAAACTCCATTTGAGGCCTAATCAGTGTGGAGCAGAGCAGAAGAAGTACATCCCATGGCTTGCTTACAACAGTCCTGATACTACATTGCAGAATGATGCAATGTAGCATCATTTTTTGCAGCATTATTACTCTGTAAACAGTAAAAAAACAAACAAACAAAAAAACAATACTTTTGCAATTGTTCACTCATATTTATCTTGTGATCCTATGAACCTTAGATCCCTTTCCAAAGTACTCATTTTTTAGCAGTCATCTCATTTTCTGTGTGTGCAACAGATTGTCCCTTCCTCAGTGGAGTACTTTGCATTTCTCCTTATTGAATTACATCCTATTGACTCTAGCCCATTTCTCCAATTTGTCCAGATCATTTTGAATTTTAAGTTTATTTTCTAAAGTACTTGCAACCCTTCCCTGTTTGGCACTCTCTGTAAACTTTGCAAGTGTATTCTCTATGCCATCTAACCTAGTGATGAAACTATTAAAAAGACCCAAATCCAGAACTGATCCCTGCGGGACCCCACTTGATATGCCCTACCCACTTGACTATGGACCACTGATAATTACTGTCTAGGAATGTGATAGAGATGTAGCCGTGTTAGTCTGGTGTAGCTGAAACAAAATACAGGACTATGTAGCACTTTAAAGACTAACAAGATGGTTTATTACCAAAGGATATATATATATGGTTGTGACTATTTTCTTCCACTATTTGATCTGAGGAAGTGGGTCTGGCCCACGAAAGCTCATCATCTAATAAACCATCTTGTTAGTCTTTAAACGTGGGCCAGACCCACTTCCTCAGATCAAATAGTGGAAGAAAATAGTCACAACCATATATACCAAAGGATACAATTTAAAAAAATGAACACACATGAAAAGGACAAATCACATTACAGAACAGAAGGGGGATTTAGGGAGGGGGAAAGGAAGGTGAATGCCAGTGAGTTAATGATATTAGAGGTGGGGAAGGGGAAATGTCTGTGAGTTAATAGAATTAGAGGTGATAATTGGGGAAGCTGTCTTTGTAATGTGTAAGATAGCCGGGGTCTTTGTTAAGTCTGGTGCGGAGAGTGTCGAATTTTAGCATGAATGCCAGTTCAGAGGATTCCCTTTCAAGTGCAGATTTGAATGTCTTCTGAAGTAGGATGCAGGTTAGCAGGTCATTGAGACTGTGTCCTTTCTGGTTGAAATGACAAGCAACTGTTTTTTCTTTGTGATCCTGTCTAAT